GTTATCTCGCAAGAATATAATGTAGATGGTACTGACGTTTTTAGACAACCGGACTGTGAATTCAGTATTCAGCCGAAATACATAGAGATGTACGATGTAATATCTAACACTGAGACGAGTAATGAGAAGTCGAATAAAACTGTAGATGATTCTTTCAATTTCGATTTCACTTTCGACGACGATGCTGTGAGAGAGGAATCAAATTTAGATCATACATCCGTACATGCACATACCGAAGATATCCACCTTCGAAATTCTAGTAAAAAAAGCGACACGAGTACTTTTCCTAATAATTTCTGCGATATAGCTGATGTAAAAAATACTATACAATCAAAAGAAAGCGAATATGTAGCTGTAGAAACGAAAAATCAAACTGTTCAAAAAGTAGCTGTGAATGGGATAAGTGAGGAAATTTTCGCTAAGGAAAAAGCGTCGAGTAATGAAGAAATACACAAAGACTACATTCCGGAAAACAGTTTTGATGCACACGATCTAGACAATTCCGACTTTACAGAATTTATGGAGCATATAGATTTTAACGGTGTATCGGAGTTGACAAATGACTACAATTCAGTATCCAATAATAGTACATACGAGACAGTACAAATTCACGATTTACATACATCTTCATCCGATGCGTCTTGTATACAAAAGTTTTCACCAATTAAAGGAGCTTCACTGCCATCTACTAATACATCTCTCGACTGTTTAAAGGATAAAATTAATATTATGAATAATATGGACGAAGAATGTGCCACATTTAAAAGTGAAAATTCTGTAGTATATTTTAGTGACGGTGAATTTTATGATTTTCCTTTACGAACAACAGAGCCAGCAGCATCCAAAGTACAAGAAGATAATTGTCCCGGATTCGAAAGTGCGGATAACAAAGATGATGATTTTGGCGATTTTACTAATTTTTCAAACACAACAGTAGAATGGAAATCTGACGATGCTAAAGAACTGAAGGTACCTGAGGACGATGATGATTTCGGAGACTTTAGTAATTTCGAAACATCAACGGATGTAGTAGAAACACAGCAGTTTAGTTTAAAAGAATCTATATGTCGGATAGAAAACAAGAATGTGAGTTTAGGAATGTTTGTGTAATACATGATTGCTAGTAGTTTATTAGAGTAAAAAAAAAAACGAGTGTATCGCTTTAACTTAGATTTTTAGTCTTACATTATGATATAAATAATATATAATTTTATATTTTTTAACATTAATTTAATCAAACTAATTTCAGGCTGCGAATAAAATAGAAGATATAATAACAAACATGTTTTCTGTGCTTTCTGAACATCACGAAGTTGAGTTAAAAGCCTTAATAGATAAAGCAGATAAAGTTTGGCAGAATGTGAAGAGTGTGGAAGAAACCAATGCTCTCACTTACCAATGGGCGAATAGTAGTAGTAACAATGTTCTTTTGAATGCTCTTGGCATCGATTCTCGGAATATTGTAAGTATACACACAACTTAGTAATTAAAATATTTTTATACATTTATGAGAAAAAGTAACGATATTTGTTATATGAAATTAAAGCTATTTGGACCAAGATGGAATCCGAATATACCAAGATTTGCTGCAAATCTTGGTTTTACTCCATTAGAGCCAATTAAAGCTACTGCTGAGCCTCAGCAATCTTCTGCAGCCAATACCAGCAAGATACAGGGTGCAGTTTGTTCAGATGTAAGTTGAGGTTTAATTTCTATAGTATGTGTAAGTAAATTTACATATTAATTAATAATTGTAACATCGTATTAGGAAGTACCTGCCGCCCAATTTGATTGGAATAGTTCTGGCCTTGTAAATCCTCTAGATGCTAGTAAGTATTTATTGTAATTGCATGTTTAGTGATTAAAATATTGTATTAAAGAGAAAAACATAGCTAAATGTCTCGTATTTTGCTAATTTATATTCTCACATATAACGAGATAGAGAAAGAATATTTTCTGAATAAGTATTTTATATGTAAAAGTAGTTTGGTGTTGTCTCTTATATATAGATTATATAGATCAAGGCTGCGTTTGCTTTGGCGCTTACAGTAAGCATCATTTATCCTTGTTTAATATTTGACAAACAATAAGGATGAAACAATACTTTAAGTGCTGTGAGTGCCAAAGTGAAAGCGATTTAAGTGTGTTGAATTTTGTCCTAAATGTCGCGAAAAATAACGATACAGGTGGTGGGTTATCCGCTCTTCTGCCTCTGGATTTATTGTGTCCGTTTGACCCTCTACTAACACCCCATTGCTCCACACATTCCGAATCCTATCATCAGTCATCTTGCTCAACGAACTCCGTTTATTACTGTAAGTGCTCAAGCTGTAATGTCTTTGTTTTTGCATACATGTATATGTATAAATATATATTCATAACACTTTTTGTTTCAAATAGGATATCTTTTTTCTAAGTATATATATTAAAAATTAAATAGACTGCCACTTAATTTTGCTTTGCTTGGTTTTAAACATTCATAGTATTTTCAAAATTATTGTATTCATAATTCAACTAATTTTAATTATTAATTTTTATTACTGATACAGATTCATCAGAAGTAGTTGTACACGAATCAAGCCAATCCATGAAATCGCAAAATTTATCCGATCTCACTAGTAGTTCACTAAAACAGCAAAAATCATCCCAGACATCTAAGATCATAGAACCGTTGCCAGGACCTTGTACAGTGGAATGGAAGAAAAAGATCGAACAAGACATTGGAATTAAGCAGAAAAGCAATTCTTCGCATCGAACACTGAGAAATGTCCCTCTAACCAATAATAAGTCATTTCCAATAAGCAATAATACCTCCAGGGTACATGAATATCACAGAAAGATATCAGTAGGTAAGAAAGAGAATACGCAAGGTACGGAGCACATAGTCGTGGACCGATACGGGAGACCGATGACCGTGCAAGCCGAGACTATAAAAGTTCTGAATCAGTTACCGGACCTGTCGTTTTTGAATGCGAGAACTTTGTTGTTCAATCGCGAGCAGAGACAGATCGTGCCGGATTTGGGCGCTATGATAAATCGGAAGATGCCTGGCTGAGTAACATCGGTCTGAATGCGAGTTTGAAAGGGCAAACGCGAGAGGAAACTTCCCAGAGAACCTGTTGCCAGCTGGATGTTTCTAAGTGACCCATACAATCAAAACGTACTTCTGCTACCTTTCAAACCTGTGTTCAGACCAACCTTTAATCCAACCTTGGCTCTTCCACGTCAGGAAAGGATAATGAGACGCCACGTATGAAAGACACTGTCCTATATTAATCTATTTGCTTGCGGCACCGAGTAATGCACTTCGACATTCCGAATCATCATTGTTTTGTGATTTTATAGCGCTAATGGTATTGTTGCTGAATCCTTCAAAGTCTCTACTTCGTTACGCAATTATGGTTTAATGTTGTACTGATCATTTAAAAAATGATGGCATATAAGTTTGTTTCGTTAACTCAACAGTTGTGTAATCTTTATTAAAGACGACAGTTTTACGTCGTTACTTACATAGATATAAGAACTCACACATACATTCGGCCATATTCTAGTCTACAGTTCTTAATGATAAGTTTTCTGTATTATACGTTAGGAGAGATTTGTTCGATGTTTATTTTCGACGATAATTACAGGCAATTAAGCAGCGCCAGAGTATTATACTCGTTTATATTGTATTTCAAAAATTTATCTACTAATATTCTGGAACTACTTTTAGATGAACCTGAATATTCATTTCTATCAATGTAGACTAACTTTAATTTCGGTTCAATTGACTCTTCGGCCCGTATTCAGAATGCGCTTTATCGATAAAAGCGCGTTTTTATCTCTGAAATTCTATAATATGCGTGACGTAAAGTATAATAAGTTAGCGCGCTAACATCATTGTAAGCGCGTTTTGAATATGGGCCACCATCTTTTTCTAATTAGGACTAGAAAAAGATGAAAAGTAAGTTAAACTGAGATCAATTAATCTTCATTGGTGGCAATGGACATTATACATTCAAGAAACTGCGCGCGTACTTTGTATGACGTTCATATGTTACAATTTCAAGCAATCGTAAATATTCAGTCATACAGAAAGAGAATATATACTTTAACTACTCAAAATAAAAACTATATACTAATTGTAAGTCAATTATCGTAGATTGACGAGATTGATATCTGTAATGAAATCGTCGAGTGATACATTTATCAAATTCGCTTGATGCTTTTATTGCACATTTTGAATTTCTACTATGAAACGTGATGTACTTAATTATGTAAATTTCGGCATTTGCATATTGATTATTAGAACGAAACGATAAATATTATTACCACTATTAGTTATTTATTAATGATAATATTGTAATATATATTTTATGTAAAATATTGTGGATAACATTAACACATAGGCAATCTTTAATGATCGAATCGTTGTTACTTTTCTTAATCACTCTATGAAAACGTGCGATTTTTTAATCGATTTTTTCCCCGATCCTTGAATGCAATCTTTTATAATAGTCAGAACAATTTAAGCATTAAAGATGCAAAGCAATTCATTATCTCACAATTACTTTAATTATATTAAATATAGAAAAATCTATAAAATATGAATTAAATAACAGTTCTTCATAATTTTTCCTTAATAAAAGTATTTTTATTAAGTATATTTATTTTATATTTCATAATGTTTTATAAAATACTGTCATCAAAATATATTAGTTACAATTAAATTATCTAATAACAATGATTACTCTTGCACATCAAAAATGAAATTGCATTTTACTTTAATGTATGTCAATTATCAGTTTTTTGCACACACATAATAGATTTTTCTAAAATAATTTTTTAAAGTAAAATAATTTTTATTAAAACGTTTAGACTAGATCATTTCATTTAAGCACACAATATAAATCGGATACGTGCATTATAATAATTTCATATAGAAATTTTTTTTAAACTAATTGAATAAATAATTTCATTAAATACGTTAAAAAATTGCATAATTTTATCTTTTATAAGGAAAAGAACGCAATATATTACTTTGGTTATTAGGAAAACATATCCTCCTCGGAGCTATTATGTTCTTCTAAACTGTTAAAAACTTGCTTGGATTTCACTCTATCATACATATTTGTGTTTTGTAACATTAAATTGACTTTACTTGTTGAAGGCTCAGGGCTTGTATCTTCACTAGAAGAGAAATTCATGCATCTCTTAAAATTTTTCTTACTACTCTTTGGTATAACTTCCTCATTTTCATAATCAATTTTGTGTTTCCTTAGCTTAGATGGTTTAGTATTGTGTATTTTCTTACTCTTTACATCTGATCCATCACTTTCATCATCAGTGGTTTCATTATATGCTGACTTTTTTGTATTATTTAAAGCCTCTTGAAGCTCTCTAATCTTTTTCTTCTTTGTATTTAGAAGTAAAAGAAATTTCATGTAAAGATCTTTCTCCATAGTGGTCTTCTTGTTTATTATTTCCTCTAAATCCATGATCAGTTTTGTATTGGTTTTCTTTAGATGTTCATTCTCTTTCTCCAGTGCCAGTGCTCGCTCTTGGTATTGTTGATAAAATTCTAATGACTGTTTTAAAGTGTCAGACAGAATTAATATATTTGAAAGAGAATGCATTGCAATTTCTCCACGAGTAAGAACATTTTGTTGTTTCCATGTGAATGTTGTTCCATATGATTCATCCTGCAGAAAGAACTGTATATCAGTGTTTTTCCCAGAGAATGCTTGTTTTGTTTTCTCCAGATACGTTTCAAAGGATTCGTCCAAGTGATTTAAGAAGTAATTGGCATTCTCTGCATGCATCTAAAATAATAAGATAACTGTCAATAGATAATAGTCGTCGACTGTCAGCAGTGACATTACATTTTTTTGATAAATCTAATGAAATTGTTCAAATTCTTTAAATTTTGTCTTACTTTGACCGTTTTCCAACAAGGACATAGTATAACAATGAATCATTACATCCTTGTTTACCGACTTTAAACAAGGAAAATAATTCAACATGTCACATTGTCTCTTTGCTGGAAAGGGTTCTGGTTATGATCAATCAATAGTATGTTACAAATGCTTTAAAACTTAATTATTATAAATTGATTATGATTTATATTCTTTGATTGGTCGATCAATAAAATTTTTTCTGATTAATTAATCAAATACTTCAAAGCATTTGTAGTAAGACTTTGACTGCATTCATAAATATACAATAAAATAAGTAAATAGTTAATTAAATTACCTCGCCACTTAATGGTAGCGTACATGTCCTCAACACTATTATTTTGAAAGATGTATCCTCCCATTCTGTGTATAGTATAAAATTGTTCTTGTCCACTTGATTCACAAGCTGACTTACGCTCGCATTCATGACGTTTCTTTTCGGTAATCCAGAAAAAAAGTGCGAGGCAATTAATGAAAAAAGGCATCAAAAACATCTGATGTGCAGTCATCTGATGAAGATTTTGTCAACTCGATTGGTTAAGAACTCTTGTCAGAAGAAAATACATTTTGACACAAAATAAAAAAAGAATTTCGTCGATCGGATTCGACAATTAGGTTTGTACTTCAATGATTCATAAATATGATTAAAAATTGATAACGTGTGCATTATAGATTAGTGACGTGATCCATCACGTACAATGCGTCACCCGTCAATGTTCTTTAATATGTAATGCGAGATTGCGCCACCGAGGACGTCACAGTAGAGAGAAGGTCCGGCTAAAATCACTAGGACTGCGTTCCACTTAAGGGCCAATTTCACCAACCACGGTTAGATTAACCGACGGTTAAAGTTAGCAGGGTGACCAACAGACACATATTTTCTCGTAACCTCTTGGTTCTAACCTGAAATTTGTGGGAAGCAATAAACAGTGTATTATACATGTGAAAAAAAGTCAAACAATTCTAAATAATTTATACGTGGTTTGATTTTACGTGGTCTTCGACGTTTTTCTAAATTGTAACCAGCAAATTCGTCAAAAAATATGTAATTTATAATATCATTCATTTTGTATTCTCACTCACTGATGAAATTTCAGATAGACAAAGCTCCGTAAAATTGACAATATATAAGAGGTTACGAGAGAATATGAATGTCTGTTGGCCACCCTGCTAACTTTAACCGTCGGTTAATCTAACCGTGGTTGGTGAAATTGGCCCTTAACGCTCACAACGCTCGTAGAATTATTTTATCCTTGTCGTTTATCAAATGTTAAACAAGGACAAATGATGCTTACGAGCGTTGCGAGCGTTAAATGGAACGCAGCCTAGATAACAAAGTACCGCGATGGGAAAATTGAAGTGACATATTTTTGGAGCCAAAATGACGTTGAATGCAGATAGTGGCTGCG